ATTTCCCAATCAGCATGCAGTTCCTATGCTTTCCTTATGGAAAAATTCTAGAGTCCCCAATATTCAGAGATTTAAGGGACCACAGATATCACAAATCCTCCCATTTTACAAAACAAGAAACTTTAGCCCAGAGTAGTGAAGGTACATCCTGAAGAAGTGACTATCCTCTAAATTTCCAGCAGCATGAGCACCAGGTCAGACATTTAGGACTAGCAAACACTCCAAACCATGCTCTCTGTACATGAGTTGCTCAGGAAAGGGCAATGTTCATTCAATCCTACTGTTTGTCAGTGTACAAGTATAGTCCACGCTAGGGATTTCATATAGAAGGAATTAAATAGAGGTAATTAGATAAACAGGTGATGAAAGAGTTGAGAAACCCAAGAGAGGGGGTGAGGGCAACCCACAGATAAGCTGCAGCAGAAAGTTGCCACCTCTGTCCTCTAGGAACAAAGGGGAGAGGTGATGCTGGAGTCAAGCAGGAAGAGCGCAGGCTGGTAAGGCAGGAACTGAGACCACCAGGAGAAAGGCTCTGTGGTAGGACTAAAGTCAAAGTACCAAGGAGGCTGGAGAAGCCCCAGGAAACAAAGAAGAAGAGAAATACTCTGCCCCACCATCATCATCCATCAGTGCCACCCATTGGCCAGATCTACTGGAAACTTGAGAGCATGGAAACCTGGGAAATGTAGTTTCCAGTGAGATACAGCAGCATCAGAGAGTAAATGGGCAAGTGATAGAAACAAACAAATGCAAACACCACAAATATTTCTGCAATTTTAGATTGTGACCCTGTACCTGCATGTGACCATGTACCTGCACTTAACAAAGTGCCCTAGGAAACACAGAGGTGCACTTCCATTTTTAAGGATGTCAGATCAAGAAGACAGTTCTGCCTTATTTTAAACAGATTGTGATTTACCCAGTGTGGTAGGTATTCTCTAGGATGATCCCTGCCTCTGAGGGTTCATCCTCTGGTATTATCTCCTTTACTGTGGGCTGCACCTAGGGACTTGCTTCTAACAAATAGAATATGTCAAAAATGATGTTGTGTCACCTTTGACATTAGGTTACATAAGGTTATGGCTTCTTTCTTGGTCCCTCTCTCTGGCTCATTCTTTTGGAAGAAAGTCAGCTGCCATGTGGTGCATTGTCCTGTGGAGAGGCCCACATAGAGATTTGAGGTCTTTGGTCTAACAGCCCTGGAAATAATTGTATTCACTGAATCATGTGAATGAGCTTAGAAATGGATCAATTACATGTAGTTTGGATAGCATAGCAACCTACAGTACGTTTGGGCAACAAGGAATATCAATCTCAACCTGAGGCTCAGCTTCTGAGCTGAAGGTTAGAACCGAACTAAAAGTTAGATTCCTAATCACAGAGCCAGACGACCAGTCCACATATGCTGCACCATGACACAAATGTGGGCCCACCAGAAACTAGGAGCTTAACTCAGGTCCTACATGACTGAGTGCCACTGGGGCATCTGTGGCATGTGGCAGTAGGGCCTACGCATATTTAAACACTACCCAGTGCAAAAGTTTAGAAAAGTTTCTTTTGCTCCTTTAAAAATAGCTAATGTTAAATAGAGAGGAAAGAGAGATAGTGGGCAAAGAATGGACAACAGAAAGGGGGGCATAAATGGAAAATTACAGAGAGCTATTGGTTTGTGACTTTCATTAAGAGCATTTGAGAAGATGAGATACAAGGTGATTTGAATAATGATTAAGAAGTTAAATCCTAGTCCCTTAATGAAAGCCTATATCCACTCATTTCCACTGTCTACCACCTTCGGAGGTAATTTAATTCCTCTCGTGGCTTCTGCCTGTCTTGTCAGCAGGCACAGTGTTGCTTGTGCCAGCTGGAACTAGTGGGCAGAGGGTTGCAGATACACAGTTCTTGTTCTCCTGCAGCCTACAGAGCCCTGAGCCCAGGAAGGGGGTAGCCTGATGCACAGAGAGGCTGTGCTCCAGAAAGGGACCCACACACAGCCCGGGCTGTTCCTTTTCATAGAGAAAGCATGAGAGCAGACTTGATAAAGAGAATAAACATTTTCTGTGTGGGTGTCAGCTGAGAAAGCCAGCCTTCCAGCACCTGGGAACATTGGCTGATCCTCCCACAGGAAAAGAAGCAGCCATTGTTCCCAGTTCATTGCCAGGCAACCCAGAGAAAGTCCCTGGGGTCATTGGTTGAAGAGCTCTGCTTGTGTCTTCACAGTGCCTTTGCTCACTGCTTTCCTAGCTATGCTGTTGCTGACAGTTCACATTGCCAGCATCACCATCCACCAGTTGATGGTCACTTTCTCAGGCCTCCCTGCCCCTCTGGGAATGGGAAAATGGTCAATGGAGGGCCTCACTGAGGTGACATTTAAGCGAGTATCTGCAAAAAGAGTGTTCTAGGCTTCCTCGTAAAATTTGGAGAGCAGACACGAAAACAGGGGAGGTGGCAAACAATATGGAAATATATGCAGTGGGTACAGATCATAGGAAAGAGTATGGAACTTAAATGAGACCAGAAGTGTAGGGGTCATTTGAGATAGGGCCCTTCTGGGTAGAAAAACAGCACAATAGAGTGACCCAATGTGCATGTGCTGGATGGAGTTGGGGAGTGGAGAGAGAGAGAAGGATATCCTTACCAGGAAGGAGCAGCGAATATTTAAGGCAGTGGTGTGCTGATATGTTTACTGACTCTTGAGGAACAAAACAAAAAAACCCCTAGCATATGCTAGTTCCCATGGTGTAAATGCTGCCATTATGTCCAGTTTCAAACTACCAATGTTACACTGACTGCAGAGTAGAAAGGAAAGGAGGCTTTAAAATCACACATAGATCTTTAATTGGAGATCAGAGAAAATCACAATACCAAAGGCAGAAATATAACTCAGTGTGTGGATGTGGAAAAGCCATTGATTTGTTTTTGTGACCATACCTAAAGCCAACCAATTCAGAGCCCCAGCCTCTTCATCCTCAATCTGAAGGGACTGTGCTAAAGGAAATGGAAGATTCTTTCTGTGGTCTTTCATTGATTGTTTCCTTCCCCAGGGTCAATCTACCTAGGGCCTTCCTCATTTCTCTTTGCTCTGCCAAGTTTGCTCAGGTACCCAGTTGGGATGAATTCTCCATGTCCTCACTGAAGGTAGGAAGTCAAGTTGAACTAAAAGCAGAATGGGCAGAGTAGGGGGCATCCCTGTTTGGAAAGGTGGCTCAGCTGAGTCACAAACACGCATGCCGTCCACAGGGACTGCTGCTTCTGAACCTGGAGCTGACTTGGTGAGAGGTGAGTGGGTACATTCCACCACCATTCAACATTCCATGTCTACCAGGCTGACTCTTCTACAAGCTTCATTTAGCCATGGAGGCAAACTGCAACCAGAATCTGTTAGTACTTAGGTGTAAGATCCCCCAGTTACTTCATTTTCTGCAGGTGGAAGCCAGCAATCTCAGATAGAAATCCCAACATTCTCTCCTGCTTTCACTTTTCCACATTTGAAAATCAGACAGACAGAAGATGGTCTTTATATAATTTTGCACATATTTATGTCAGGTTTTACAAGGAATATAGTGTTTTCTCATCTGCCATCTCATTTGATAGTTTTTCACAACTCTGGGAGGTACTATTATCTTATTTTACAAAAGAAAAATTTTGAGATGGCAGATAGCTAATCCCATCAGACACCTGGTGAGTGGCAAAGCTGGAACAAAATCACAGGTATTTTGGCTTCAGATTCCTGTGTTTTTCCAGAATACCTGAGTGCATGTCTATGCAAGTATGTATGTGTGCGTGTGTAGACACACAAAACCCACTTTTTATAGGCATTTTTTTTTTTTGAAACAGGGTCTCGCTCTATTGCCCAGAGCTGGAGTGTAGTGCTGCAATCGTAGCTCACTGCAGCCTTGACCTTCAGGGCTCAAGCAATCCTCCCACCCCAGCCCTGGAGTAGCTGGGACCAGAAGTGCAGGCCCACCACGCAGAGTTAAATTTTACATATTTTGTAGAGATGGGGTTTCGTCATGTTGTCCAGGCTGGTCTTGAAATCCTGGGTTCAAGCCATCTGCCCAACTTGGCTTCCCCAAATGCTAGGATTACTGCCCTAAGCCACAGTAACTGGCAAGGTATTTCTTAAGAATAAATTGGGTGTTCCCTTCTTCCAACTCAGCCTATGATATTAAGGTGGTTCTCTTGTCAGCTCCTGAAAATTCAGGGCCAGAATTGAAATTTCCATCCAGAGTAGGCCTCATGAATTCATCAGCCATTTCTCGAGTGACTACTATTTGCCACGCAGCGTCAGGCACCATGCTGGGAGCTGGAATACAGCAGTGGACCATACAGGCCCTTAGCCACCAATACACACAGATTTTGTAAGAGTAACAGACAGTCTTAAAACCAGACCTTGACAAGTTTTGAAAGACTTTGACAAGGCAAATGAAAAAGGAGGCAAAAGAGGGCAGGCAGGTCAGGAGGATGTTTCCTAATCTCTATGCAAGGAAGGCAGGAAATAGCAATTTAACCAGGGAGGTAACCTAGGCAGAAAATTAATGACACATGCCTTCCTCTCCCTTTGCATTACCTTTTATTACCTCATGCCAGGCTGGAATTTGGGAAATCTTCTATTACAATGTAGTATATACATTATACATTAAATAAGATTATGCGCATTACAAACAAAATTATTTCAAAATTAAGAAATTACACACAGTACAATTAAAATTAAATTTAATTTCAAAATAAAATAATTTTATTTGTGGTGTTCTTTAGAGCACCAAACAATTCACATACATAATCTTCATTCTCATAGTCTATTAAGGTAAATATTACCTCCATTTTAGAGGTGAAGAAATTAAGGTTCAAAACAACTAACTTGGTGATGGCCATGTAATTTTTAAGAAGAACCTTGAGTCTAGCCCAAGAGTGACTGGAATTTCCTGTTCACTTACCACTATTCCAGCAGGATAGCACAGCAATTTCAATTTTGCAGTAAATCAGGGTTAATCATCCCAGAACTGTTTGATAGCAAAAGACTAAAAAAACTCAAGTGCCTACCAACAGTAGACAGGTTACATAAAATATAATGCATTTGCATAACGCAATACATGCAACTATGTACAGGAAGCTCTGTATGTTCTCACAGGGAAAGTTTTCCAAGATAGATTGTTATGAAAAGGGCAAGTGCAGAACAGTGTATACAGTCTGATATCTGGGCAAGGATGAAAAAAGTGGGTAACACGTATCATTCATTATTGACTGATATTAGCAGGAATGAATACTGGGCAGATACACAAGAAAAAGAAAAGTGATCACCTGGGGTAAGTTGAGGGGTGGATTCTTTCTATTTATCTTTTTACTTCAAATCGTTTGAACCCTGTAAATGTAATACTTATTTAAAAAATTAAACACATTTTGTACTCAGAAGAACTTCCCCTCAATAATTTCTTTCTCTCCATTTTACCCTCCTTATCCCCCCCACACATGATGTAGAATGTTTTTAATAAAAAAATTTGTGGATGCAGAATCAATCAGTGATGTAGGAACATTGACACCATCCATCCACTTATTCCTTAGAATTGGTAGGTTTGGCAGGCACTCGGGATCCTGGCATCTCTCTGAAATGAGAAGTTTTTGCAACCTAAGAGAGAGAAGAAAAAGTAAATATATCTGGAAACCTCCTTCTTGGCCTTCCTTACACATACAGAAAAACTAACAGATCCTTTTCTTCATAATGAGTTAGCTTCTTTACAGGTACCAGCCCTTCTCAAGTTCTCAAATAACTCAACTCCCCGTGGTGTAAAAGGACCTATCCAGGCTAGACACTTCAATGTTGCTCTTCAGATAGGGTTGACAGATTTGGCACATTAAAAATACTGAATGTCCAGTTAAATCTGAATTTCAGATATACAGCATATATATATATATTTAATGTATAGGATGTCTTATGTAGTATTTGAGTGTGCAGCGAGGGGCATACTTAAGCCATTATTTGTTGCCTGTTTGAAATTCAAATATAATTGGGTGTCCTGTATTTTATATGGTAAATTTATCCTCTGATTTCACCTGGAGGAGGCTAGTTAAGTGCACTTGAACTTATTAGCCCAGGGACACAAAATGTACACAGCCCAGTGCAATCCAATAGAATTTTCTGTGATGATAGACATGTTTTATGTGTGTGTATCCAATACAGTAGACACCAGTAACTTGAAATGTGGTGAGACTGAGAAACTGAATTTTTGATTTAATTATTTAAATTTAAAATATCACATGTGGCTAATGGCTACTGTATCAGAGAGCAAAGCTCTAAAAAGAGTAATGTATCTCCCTTCAATTTAGCAACTGGGATTTAAGATCTAGTGATGGCTAAAATGACACATAACTCAGGAATACAATCCTAAGTCTCTGTAGCTTAGATAGTGACTACTTCATTTTTGCACAAAAATGTTTTGTTGTCAACATAATCATTCTGGGGTTTTTTCCCCCTGTATTTACAAGATCTATTGTATGGAAAGGATGTGAAGGACCAGGGTACAGGTAGATGTGAAGGTATAGGGTATAAGGTAAGGTAAAATTCTTCAACAAACTTATCCTAGTAGGTAAGAGTGTTAACTGAATAATCTCAGCATTAGAATATAGAAGCTGGGGTCGGGCACAGTGGCTGAGGCCTGTAATCCCAGCTATTTGGGAGGCTAAGGCAGGCGGATCACTTGAGGCCCGGTGTTGGAGACCAGCCTGGCCAACATCTGAAACTCCATCTACTAAAAATACAAAAACTAGCCAGGTGTGACAGCACGCACCTGTAATCCTAGCTAATTGGGAGGCTGAGGCAGGAGAATCGCTTGAACCCGGGAGGCAGAGGTTGCAGTGAGCTGAGATCGCGCCACTGCACTCCAGCCTGGGCAACAGAGCTAAACTCTGTCAAGAAAGAAAGGGGAGGGAGGGAGGGAGGGAGGGAGGGAGGGAGGAAGGAAGGAAGGAAGGAAGGAAGGAAGGAAGGAAGGAAGGAAGGAAGGAAGATAAAAGCTGGGAGGTTCCATTATCACAAAGCAAACATTAAGTGGATGAAACAGCACAAATTTGATCACACCCACCAGTTGTGTGACCATTTTCTTTCCATGATTTTAAGCAAACATCTATTAACCCTAGACCCAGAGAATATTAAAGATAATTATTTTATGCATGATGCCAGCTAGCAGAGAACTGGCCCTTAAAAGAATTAACGATCTAGACAACTTAGAATTATCAGTATACATGATGTCTGGAAAGGTTAGTGTAGAAACTGGGAAAATGGTAAGAGTGTGGAAAACAAATGGGGTGTAATTCTAAACTTCACTGTGTTCCTAGTAGCTGGGTAAGGTGAGTAGGTAATGTATTAACAATGATTTATAGGAAGACATTTTTATACAGAAATTCAGATAATCACTGTGCATATCTGAAATATAATCATTTTTATATAGAAATTATTTCTGGGCTAAAAAGTATCTATTCTCTGGTTTATTTACCAGATACTTGGGTTCCCACTAAGTGTCAGGCCCTCTGCTAGATGCTGGGACATAACAGTGAATGACTAGATCAGGTCCCTACTTTGTGGAGCTAGGTTTAATGGAAAGAGGCAAACAACAAGGAATCTGATAAAACTTCAAACTGCAGTTGAAAGAATCTAAACAGAATGAGTGATAGAACATAATTTGAGGTGGGAAATGGAGAAAGCTTACTTTTTTGTTTCTCTTTATACTTTAAAAAAATATACTTGCTCATTTTAACAGTTCACACAGAGACATTTATAAAGGTTAACCTTTCCTCACCCCATTCTATTAGGTTGGTACAAACGTAATTGCAGTTTTTGCCCGTGAAAGTAATGGTAAGAACCACAATTACTTTTGCACCAACTTAGTTTCAGCTCTCTGAGATAATTAATGTGATAGGTTTTCTTCCATACAGTTCTCTATTTACTCTCATCAGTGGTGTGTGTGATTTTGTTTCACCAGATTATTGTTGTGGGTAGCTGTGTAACATTCCATAGTATAAATGGATGTCTCACTATGTCAACAGTACTCTTATTTATAGTTACTTAAACGTTTTACATGTATAATTAGTTTTTTTTTTTTTAACAGTTTTTATTTGTTTTTTTTGTTTTGTTTTCAGACGGAGTCTCACTCTGTTGCCTAGGCCGGAGTGCAGTGGCGCAATCTCGGCTCACTGTAACCTCTGCCTCCTGGGTTCAAGCTATTCTCCTGCCTCAGCCTACCGAGTAGCTGGGATTACAGGCATGTGCCACCATGCCTGGCTAATTTCTGTATTTTTAGTAGAGATAGGGTTTCACACCATGTTGGCCAGGAGGGTCTCAAACCCCTGACCTCAAGTGATCCACTCGCCTCAGCCTCCCAAAATGCTAGAATTACAGGCATGAGTTACTGCACCCAACCTCTCGTGACAGTTTTGAAAGAGACCTTACATATGTAACCTTACCTAGTGGGGCCTTTATTCTATTGTTGACACTCTCCCTTTCCAAATGTCTATTAATAAAATTTAATAGACATTGCCAGGAAAACTTCTGAAAAATTACATGATAATGACAATTCTTCCTCATCCTTCACAGTCCTGAGTATTACTGGCTTTAGTGGTTGTCTATTCATAGGTAAGAAATGGTATCCCAGGCTAGGTGCGGTGGCTCACGCCTGTAATTCCAGCACTTTGGGAGCCTGAAGTGGGTGGATCATCTGAGGTCAGGAGGAGTTTGACACCAGCCTGGCCAACATGGTGAAACCCTGTCTCTACTAGTAATACAAAAATTAGGCTGGGTGCGGTGGTTCACGCCTGTAATCGCAGCACACTTTGGGAGGCCAAGGCGGGCAGATCACAAGGTCAAGAGATCGAGACCATCCTGGCCAACCAACATGGTAAAACCCCATCTCTACTAAAAATACAAAAATTATCTGAGCATGGTAGTAGGCGCCTGTAGTCCCAGCTACTCGGGAGGCTGAGGCAGGAGAATCGCTTGAACCCGGGGGGGTCGAGGTTGCAGTGAGTCGAGATCGCACCACTGCACTCCAGCCTGGGTAGCTGAGCAAGACTGTCTCACAACAACAACAACAACAACAACAACAAAAATAGTATCCCTTTGTTGTATTAATATGTATAATTTTGAATTACTAGGTTTTTTTTCTTGTTTTTCATATGTATTGGCCATTTGAATTTAATACATGATATAAAATACCATTTAATCAGTTTTTATATTATGTTGTTTGTCTTTTTACTAACGTTTCCAGTTCGTCCTTGTAAATTGAGGTTACTAACCCTGTATATGTTTTGGAAATCCTTTATCCCAATTTATTGCTCTTTCTACAACTCTCTTTACATATATTCTGTCTTAGGCCACTTTTGGACCTATCTAGTTTGTGTCCTTTCCTATAATGGCTTTTGTGTTTCCTCCTCACTTAGTAAAGACACTCTCCCACCACCATTTCCAAACACATACACACACAAATTAATTTTTAATCCATTTAGGTAGGTTTATTTTAGATAGGCTTGTCTGAAACAGAGATAAGACCTGATGAGTGAAAATGAGCTCACCAGAAGAAAAATCAAAGAACAGGCATTTCAGAGACTGAGGCCAATAAGGTAAATGTCTTAAATCAGCAGAGTTTAGCTGCTTGATGGGAAAAGAGACCAGAGTGGTTGGAACAGCAAAGGAGAACAGCAGAAGAGGTGAAGAGGTCAGAGGTGGTCACTGAGTGGGTCCTCAAGTCATGGTAAGGAGTATGGAGAATGAATTATTGAATATGTAGGTGACGTGACTCACAGGTAACTTTGGATTTGTAGAGGTGAAGGAAATGTAGCAAGTGCCACTCTTAGAATGTTGATTTGAGTAAATGGTAGTGTCAGTTATTGAACTGGGAAGAACTGGAAGGGATAACAGGCTTAAGGAGCACAATGTTTATTCCTGTGTCTTGGAAGTGTTTATGGTGAAAGACCTATTAGAGCTCTAAATGGAGATGTCAAATGAAAATGTGGCTACACACATTTGAATTTTAGAAAAAAGGTCAGGCTGGAGATGTAAAATTGGAAGTTTACTGCATATAGACAGTCTTTGGAACCATTGTATTGATGAATCTATTAACTAGACAGAACAAAGACTAGGGACCAGAACCAAGCTACAAGTTTCTAAAATTTAGAGCCTAGTACAGTCTGGTCATTTTGAGGTGAATACTTAATGACAGAACAATTTGCTGAAGTGTAAATTTAGAGCCCTATACTTTCAGCTCTGATTATTAACGAATACAAGAAAGAATGGATATGGTTATCTGCCTGGTGTCTGTGAAATAATTTAAGCCAGGAAGAGATCCTCACCAGAAACTGACTATGCTGGCAACTTGGATTTTAGACTTCCAGCCAGTAGAATTGTTAGAAAATAAATGTCTACCGTTTAAGCCACCAGTCTGTAGTATTTTGTTATGGCTGCCCAAGCTGACTAAAACAGGTTTTGGTACCCAGACATGGGATGCTGCAACAACAAATACCTAAACATGGGGAAGTGGCTTGGGAAACTGGTGATGGGTAAAGGGTAGAAGAGTTTCAGGTTCATACTAGAAAAAGCCAATTGTGAAGAGACTATTGATAGAAATATGGACATTAAAG